AGATTGACTGCTTTGGTCCAAGCAAACGCTGCGGGGAAGTCTCCGATTCACTGTGGGGCAGTGTGAAACTTGCAGCTCCTCTCTTCAGTAAGGAGTCACATCTGCTCTCACTCCAGCAAGTTCGGCCAAGTGACATGATGTGTGGCACCACCGGCAGGTGGTTCTGCTGGACCTACGGTCGGCAGAACCAGACAGTGTCCAACAGACAGAGATGAATCCGGATGAAAAGACATGGGAAGTCAAAACTCTGGCACCTAATGTTGACTGTCGAATTGGTACAACACACCCCTCAAGGAGGTGTAAAACCAGTTGAACCGTTAACATTAGGCGCAGATCGCACAAACACAATCTTCCTGCAAAGTATTCACCACCTTGGCCTTGTGAAAGGGGAGTGCTTGGCGCAGTGGCATCGTGGCCGTCTGTTTGGCATCGTGGCCGTGTGATTGGTCTCCTCCTAGTCTACCCAAAGGTCTTCGGCTGTGGGGGAGCGGAGATGAGGAAGAACTCCATGGAGTTGTTGTCATTCCGTCCAGGATCCTGTGGCAGGGTCCAAATTCACCATGAATAATTACTGACTACCAGATCGAATTCACCAAATAATTGTTCAACACTTAGACGTATAACCGCTCAAAGGTGAAAGGCAAGGCGAAACGGGAAGCAAGGCTTCTAGTCGAGACCGTGGCCCGGAACCGCGCGGTGAGCTCGTTGGTATCGGTTGGTATCGGTTGGTCTGTCTGTTTCGAGGTACCCAAAGAGATCGAAAAGCCCTCGCTTTTTGGGGGGGTCAGGGTTCAGCTGAGCACTGTGGAGTCACTGTGGAGCACATGTTTAAACTATGTTAATCCGTCGCCTCCGAGTCAAGGCTTTTTCATACGACCTCCCCAGTTCTCGGGAAGTTTGGCACCGGTCACAGGAACACTCTCCGGACTGGCCTACCCAGAGCGGGTTTGTTGACCCAGGCGGATGTTGGGTTCGGAAAACTCTATAGGTGGCGGTCTGTGGGCTCTGTGGAAATCGTGCACATATACAAAGCTGAAATTATGGAGACCCCATCTGTACATAGCTGAGCGGATCCTTGGGGCACAAGCGGATCCTTGGGGCACAAGCGGATCCTTGGGGCACAAGTGCTCAAGAGACCAACCAACTAACGTTCATCAAACTTCCATCACCCTACCCTGAAGAATCCTCAGGAACTACACCTAAGTCAGGAACTACACCTACACAACCCTCCAACCCTCTTCCAACTCTCTCACCGGTCCACTTCCAGCCTTGGTGAGCAGGGAGAGCGTCGTGGAGGCCACTGGGCAGTAGCTGGTGCTGAGACCCGACACCTGCGCTCCACGCGGAGCCCGCGACCCGACGCGGCCCGACGCGGCCCGACCCGACCGAAGCAGCGTTCCGCCCGGACGGTCGGACGCTGCTTACCGCCGGACGAGTGGGACCGACGCTGGTGGTTTTCCGCCGCGGGTCGGTCTGATCACTGGGGGATCTTCCGAAGAGCGTGGACGCTAGTGGACGGGGTCCCAAGCAGCATGTGAGTCTTGTTGTTCTGTGGCCTCCTTGTTACCGAAGAAATGTCTCTGAAACAACATGCCTTCCAAGGACTGTACCGGCAGCACGGATCAGCGAATTGGATGTTCCCAAGCAAGGTGACTTCTCAGCTTGCTGAAGTGCAACACACATGCACCCGTCGTACAGCACCAGGATTGGTGATCGCTGGGCTGATCGGCGCGCGCGCGCGATTTTTACGACCCAGGCGTCCGGGCGCAGTAGTAGGTGGTGAGGGAGGTTGGCATCAGCACTTCAGGAACACCCGAGTAGAAGGTCTTCAGGAAGTACCTCGTCTTTTGTGCCCACTGGCTTGGGTCTGTGCAATCCACCATCGCGTCCTCCACCATACATGAAGAGGTCAAGAAAGATCCAGAAAACATCACAAACCAGCATGGTTCCCCTTCCTTCTGTTCCTTTGGAGCCACAAGGGATCAAAAGTCAAGCCTGGCTTGGAATTCTCTAGAAATCAATTGCACGATGGTATTGAGAACTCACCTGAAACGCCTGAAACTTGTTCGGATTCTCCACTAAGTAGGTAAATCCAAGCTTGCCAACTGGATCCGTCTTCAGAGTTGTCACCCCCCACCCCACCAGGTCACCACCAACGTCCCGTCCCACCCCGCGGGGCACGACGTGCCGGGAGCGTTGAGCTTCTCGCTGCACGAGGACTTCGTGGGCACCGCACCGACCTTCGTGGGGTACCTCCCGGACGGTCCGAGCCGTCCACGGCGGAAGGCTCGGGGAAGACCGGGGACGTCGGTCGGAAGACCCGGGAGAAGAGCCGGTGGAGCTGGAAGAGCGAAGATCTTGGCACCAGGTATGGGGAGGAAGATCTGCATTGAAGATCCAGCAATGTGTTTTCCATAAAACTGCTACATCTCTCTGCTGTGGTTAGAGGAAATCATGAGCGCTGGTCCAAATTTGTTGCTCCAATCGTGAAACGTCTAGTATTGATCTTCAGGTTTGGGAACTTGTACATACCACATTAACCTTTGTTGGTTTCATTCTTTGGGCTTCCCGAGAGGACGGAAAAACAGCTCAAGATTCAAAGAGAGATTTGTCATTTCTGGTCGTGTCAGAGCAGCTCAGCAAAGAAACCTGTAAAAAGAAACTCAGTACCCTTTCAGCGACTGAAGGAGAACGAGGAAAAACTGTCTCCATGTTTGTCCCAGCCCTCGCTTCCTTCGCGGGGAGGGAGGGAGGGAGGGGAGGGAGGGAGGGAAGGAGGGAGATTCGGCACGTGAGGTTCAAGGCTTCAGCTGCGATCGTGGTCTGGTTCTTGTTGATGCACGCGTCGAGGGCTGCGGCTTGGTCCTCGTCTGGTGGTGTTCCAACAGACTGCCAAACTGCAGAGCGGCAGTCGGATGCAAGGCACAAATAACGACTCACCCGAATGTGGCAGCCATCTACTACATTGATTGGTTTGGGTGGGTATCTTGTTCCTGGATGGAATCATCCTCGCAACCAGCCCGTGGCTTCATACCAATGCTTCTTTGAGGGATGTGGGCCGTGAAAATGGACGGTCCAACTGCACACTCTCTTTCCAACACGCGGCAAGAGTAAGCCAGAACGGACCAGTTCCACCCCAACATCTCGAGGCCTTGAGCCCGAAGCGGAGGTTTTTTGGTCCAAGCTCCCTTGGGAAGTTCTCATATCGAGTCTCCCCCCACCGGTGTCAACGACCGCAGAAAGGTCAGGGACCCCCGGATCAGGGTTCATGGAATTTGTAGATATGCGTGTGGCATGTCTCCTTGATATCATGGACTGCCAGGAGTGCTAAAAAAATAGCAGGCCACCATTAGGAGTGTGTGTGTTTGGTGAATTGTCCACACTGGGGTCCCTGTGAATGGGCTGTTGCCATAGAGGGGGTGTACTCTGTTGCGCTCATGGGTCTTGCGAGCAGAAAGCACTGCAATCTTCTCGTTCCAGGTGTGCGGAGATTCCAACGTTTGTGGCAGATCTCAGGAGATTCCAACCTTTTCCATCTTCCCATCTTCCCACATCTGACCAGCACGAGCCAACCGAACCGATTGCTGACAAGCAGCAGCAGCAGTCAAAGCGCCTAGGTGTGGTTGGCCGTGTAGGGTCCCAGTGAACACCGAGGCGGGTGCCCAACCACAGCAGCGCACCCGTGGTTGATCACTCATGGAGCCCAGGGTCGGGGTGAAGGTCCCGCCCAAGGGGTCGGACCTCTGAACTGGAACCAATCGGTCGAAGCGGGCCTGATCGAAGCGAAGCATCTCTGGGCGGTCGAAGTGGGCCACATGGGGCCCCGGGTGATACCCCAAACTCCCGAAAGATCAGCCCCGGGCACAGCACCAAGAACTTCAAGAACCATTTGGTGATCCTTCTGGAACTGGTAGATCTGGTAGATCTTGATCTTGAAAACACCCCGATCTGGTAGCACAGACCACGATCTTTCGGGGTGTGAACTTGTGGCCGCCGGGCACAGCGCATCCGAACAGGACGCTGCTTTTGGAGGATGTGATGATTCATGGGACCCCAACAAAATGTTTTAAAAGCCTGTATGGTCCTGTTTGAAAACACCTGGGTTGGTTACTGTGATCACTTTGAGTTGCCTTAATCTCAATCCCTTGGGGTGGGAGAACAATACACTGACTGAGCAAGCTCCCTGGGTTGGCCGTTTGCCACGGCACCCAAAAGACACTCGATACGCAGCAGGCCGCGCCACTCCTGGGGACGCTGGAAACATGGTGCACAGGAGCGTCGGAAAAGAAGTGTACGACGGAAAGAAACAAGCAAACGAACAAAACAAAGCCAGCCAACAAACGAACGAACAAACAAAAAAATCCCAGGCTGTACGAAAGCTGCAGGCTCAACTTGAAATGTTTGTGATACTGTTCAAGGTCGGATTCTGAAGAAGCGATTCGTGCTGCTAATCTTCATCCTCTTGCTGCCTGGGATCCTTTGGATACCCTTGGACACCAGCACTGGATGCAATTGGGGGGCATCAGTGAAAGCTCATCATCCCAAGGATGGAGATGGAAGATTCATCGACTGAACACACGTGCTGGTATGCACAATGCATACTTCGGAGTTTTCAGGTCGCTGTTTCAAAACCCTCTCCGGAGAGGGAGCAAATCTTCATAACAAAGGCTCAGAAGAATTCCAAGACTTCCTCCATTTCTTGCGGCTCTAAACAGTGGGATCAAACACCAACCAACCACGACACCGCATCCGTTCTGTCCTGGCGGCGTCCGAGCAAAAGGCTCTCCTGGAAGGCCCGAACCGTCCGTCGATTCGTCCGACATAGACGTCTGGGGTGGTCCCTGCGTGTGATGGTGTGTGTTTCTTTTCTCATGCTTCAATCAAAGGGAAAAATCAAAGGTCGAAACTGAGACAGAATACCAGTTGCCAACTGAAGGGATCTGACTGAGATGGTGGACCGAGAACCATCTTTCTACACATGCATAACACGAGCTAGCTGGCTAGCTGCGGCAGACACCGCCGCTCCCAAGGGCTTAATTCTGCGGCGAGGTATGCAGCTACGGGAGCGGAGCTACAGACTGCGTCCCGGTTTATTTTTCCTTGCCACGCTTCCAGTGGTGATCCAACCATCGAACGTGGGCGAATTCACCCTGAGCCTGTCCGCCATTTCACCCACCTCAAAACCAAAGCAGCTCTGGAAAATCCCCCACTCAGTTTCACTGGCTCTCCAACACACATCACACATCTTGTCCCCTTTTCACGATTGAACAGGTACGTCTCAAATCGAACACTGCGAGTCGAAGCCTCATACGCCTCAGCTGTTGCGATTTCGCATCCCAAAAGGCCCAAATGAAAACGTTGCAGTGGGTGGGTCAAAACCTCACCAAACCATGGGTTCGGTTGATATCATAGAGGAATCTGTTCTTCAGGGTCATTTGACCCACATCCCAAACATCAATCCGCCTCTTTTGACCATTGCTCTTCGAGGCCTCAATTCACTGACGTCGCTCAGTGAGCTGACCGTCGGGAGGTCTTTGATGATTGCTGTTCCATCCAGTTGTGCTTCGTCAGATGCCACAGCAGCCAGATTTCCAGCATGACACCAGCTGCAACAGCTGACAAATAGAAGCGATCCAAGTTCTTGGAGCCAAGTAGAAACCTGCAAGTCAAACCCAGGTGGAGAGACTTCTATGTCCTTCCCATGTCCGGATCGATTTTGAGAGACCCAGAAAAAGTGGATGCGGATCCCTCGAATTACCCAACAAGCATCGCCCAGTTACCATGGAACTCCTGGAAGGAGGCTCCCGCAGCATTGCGCGGGAGCGCGCAAGGCGTCCGTCTGTCCGTTTGGGCGTCCACTGGTGAATGCTGGTGCGTTCTGCCTTTCAAGGCCCACATGCTCGGGATGATCCTGTTCCGGGCCTATGTTTTCGGGAGACAACGAACAGGCTTCGAGCGGTTTTTCGCGGGTTCCAAGGGAAACCAACGAAAACCGCCAAGGCAAACCTTGCAGGGAAAAGGAAAATCTCTGAACATCATCAAAGCGACATGGTGGCCGACGCCCCTTGCCACAGACCCCACAAAATGAGGACCCCTCCGCAGGACAATGATGCCAGCAAGAACTGTGCCAATGGACCAGCGGCAGCCCTCACAGCCTGAATGACTTGGTCACCAGATAAGGGGGGGGGGGTCCATGAGTCCATCATCTTTCTTTTGGTGGCACTAGCAGAGAACAGGGGTTCCCCCAAAAAGCCGTTTTTGTTTAGTAAAAGTGTCACCGCCGGAACTTCGCTGATAATTACGTAGGTTGTTGGTTGGGGGATAGAACAACTCTAGATGTGTTGCAAGTCATTTCAAGAAGGATTTCAATACCAGGTTCAGTCTACGCGCGACAGGAATAGCCGCAACATGGTGAGCGTCACACAAGAAACAAAACGGTAAAGCCACTGCAACTTCAAGTGCGGCAGATCCATCGAATTGTTCCTGGAACCGTTTCTGTCAAAAGCAACCATCAGTGAAGTTTTGCTTCAGAAATCCTTCGGCTGCGTATTATATGGAAAGGACCCCCCAAGCCAATGGATTGATAGTCGGAGGCTAATAGCAATGGCCTCCACCCTAAAAGCGATGGTCTCCAACCTCTTTAATGGCGATGGCCTCCAACCTAAGAGCGGCCCTCAACTTAGTAGCGATGGCCTCCAACCTAATAGCATCCTTGCTCCATTCGTAGCGATGCCAGAAGCCCCGTTCGTAGCCTTCTTGTTCCGTTCCTAGTAAGGCCAGTTGACCCCCGTTCGTGCTCCGTTCCTAGCGATGGCCTCCAACCTGCATTCCGACTTCCAGCTCTTCCAGCTCCTTCGGTATCGATCTCTAGTCGGTATCGATCTACATCCCAAGGAACAAGGTGGCTTGCACGCAGCGTGAGCGGCCAGAAGATCACCCCGTTCAAAGGCCAAAAAACCAGGTAGATGCCGGCCAGCGTGGCCTGAAACCAGGAGACCGAAGGAAATCCTTAGATCAGCGGCAATCGCAAACCGAAGTCGAAGTAGTAGAGAAGTCGAAGAAAACCGGCTACAGCGCTCCCATCTCGCGCGCGTTCTGTTGCTTGAGTTCAGTCTCAAAAGGTTTTGGTGGGGCTTCACCTCCCTGCTTGTAGAGGAAATAACACAAGGGTCGCAAATCTTTCTCCACTCACTTCGCTCTAAAAACAAACCCACGCATACTCACGCGCAATCACCGCACGCGCACGATGAAACTGAAGCCCGGGCATCCCAAGGTGGAGACCGCTGCCTCGCAGTCCAGCCGACCCTCACAAGTGAGGACGTTCAAGACCCCCAAGAAGATCAAGGGCAAGGACATCACCATGAGAAGCTCCAGAGAAATATCTTCATGGCTCCCTAAAGACTTCACCACACCCTCTCGAAGCGGTCCTCTCACGTAGTCGTTGAACTCTTCCAGCACTTCTTCTTTCACATCTCCCACCTCGCCCACCTCGCCCACCTCGCCCTCGCCCGGCTCGCCGCCACTCGCACCGCTTGGGAGAAGGGGATCGGCAGGCTCCGTGCCGCACCGCCGGGCGTCATCGAAAAGGCGTAAGACTTGTCTCCGGATGAAGACGCGGTCGGTTTCCAGGGTGCAAGTGGCTTTTCTCAGATCGAAGCAATCCATCTGGTCCAGCAGGGCTTTGTGCTGCTCCAGCTTCCAGATGCAAAACAAGGCGCTACAAGGCGCAGATACAACGTATGTGTACGGAGGTCCGAAGTAATAAATAAACATGGAGGAAAAATTCAAGCTACTCAATGGATCCACTCCATCTAAGAGGCACCAAGACAAGATGATCAAGAATCCCACCCAGAATAAGGACCAGATAGGCGCCCAGATTGGCACCAAGAATGAGGAAGTGAATCCAGAAGCTTTGGCCCTCACAGCCATCTCATAGCTGCCTCACTCGAAGAAGGGCTGGGACTGGAAATCGATGTCAACATCCGTGAATGTTTCTAAACAGGAAACCCTAGGAGGGGGATTAGACAAGCAAAAACTTAAAATAGATTCGAAGCATGGCAAACAATAGAAAATTCTTCAAATAGGTGGGTTTCTGGGAGGCTTAGATGAATTCACTTATTTAGCAATCCGGAGAACTCAAAGCTTGTCTGGCTGAGAGTGAGTTACACCAGGCCTTTTGAAGCAAGGTTTGATCCCAGACCACCAGCATCTCACTGGCTTGCGAAACGAAGGCAGGAATCACTTGCAGCGTCTGAGCCTGCCGTGAAGAACTACACAAATGTCAGGGATCTTCTAAAGTACGAGTACCCTCCCTCAATCATAGAAACTGAACATGACCCACATCTAGTGGAATATGGTCTTCTAGAAACCTATTTGTTCTACCTCCATGATTTTTAGCGGGAGGGCAATGGAACTTCCTAGTTTCAACTATCTGACATCATCATTAGAATGTCTCCAAAAACCCAAATGGCCCTGAAGACTGGCACTGGTACTGGCCAGTTGCCACACTTATTATATCTTACTACTGAAGAGCTTAATTACTACTGAGAACTATCCCCCGAAAACTATAAAGCCCAAAGATGTGACGCTTTGTTTGGTGTGGAAAAAATGCGCACTGTGTTCTCAATCTGGCCACAGATGTGTGTTCACAAAAGCACGTCACACTCCCGGCCTTAAGTCGCAGATTGGCTTGGTTCACACACAGCCGATCCAGCCAGACCGTGCTTCGACGGAACCTCCAGTGTTTTGAATAAGGTGGACTGCAACCTACCATGGTAGTTTTATCCCTGTCAAATATGGGGAATGTTGGGGTGAACAGTTTGCAAGGGGATCAGGGTTGGAGCCCACACATTCCTTCCTTCTCTAAGTGACCCTCGGGTTGCTCGAAAGGTATCCTCACTGGAATAACGTTCTTTTTCAAAATTTTACCCTCGGGTGGCCCACACAAGGTGAACTACATTGTAGCGGTTGCTTCGTCCTCCTTCTTTAAACTTTACAAGCAGCTGGCTCACAAAAATGTTGGTATGTTGGAACAGTTCCTTCCTTCCCTGAGTTTCACCCTCATATGCTACGTTGGATGGTTCCTTCCCCCTCTAAATTTTACCCTCGGGCGGCCCACAAATGGCATGCTACATTGGATTCCTTCTCCACATGTTACCCTAGGCTTGCTCACAGCAGGCATGCTACGTTGCAATGTCGACCCATTTCCTTCCTCATCCTGAAGACCAAATACCCACATGCTCAACACACCAATGTCCCACATGGTGGTCCTGAGTCCTGCCATGAGGATGTCGTATTCTCCTGCCCGGATGTCATACTCAACGCAGCGATGCCCAAACCGGTGGGCCCACGCAACAACCTCGTTTTGCCTTCAATTTAGCCCACTGACGAGATGCACATGCGCAGCTGGGATCGAAGCAGGGTGTCATGAGCTCATCGTCAGGCTGGTGTTTGGGTGTCTGTGCCAGTCTTCATCAGGGCAGCCTTTTCCGCGGCCTTTACCTTTGCTGTTGTATTGCCAGCCTTGGCGCATGTGGCTGATCTGCGCCATGTTTGTCGGCACCATGCGCGTCTGACAAGCATGCGGTGCACTGATGTCTTTGGGCAGGGTTGCGCTTGCCATTGCCCTGTGTTTCTTTCTCTGTCCATTCACCCAACTGGTAAAGTTTGCAAAGCTTTGTGCCTTCTCAGTTGCGACTGAAGAGGCCGTCCTCGCCCCAGTCTATGTTCACGGATGTCAGGCCCCATGGGCTTCTTGCAAACCTATCTATCTGGACAGCTCACATCAGCCCATGCCTTGATCAACAGCGGCAGAGCCCCATACGCTGACTTTGCCATTTTGGGGCCGTGTCAACAAAGATTCCAGAAGAAGATGAAGACGTGAGGTTCACTGCATCAGGAGAGATCACCCCAGTTGAAATACACGGGCCAACCAATCTTGGAGTGCTACATGGGTTGCGATCATTTTTGATCAGATTTGCCCTTTCGAGGATCGATGACTACGAGAAGCTGGTGGAGATATATCCCGAAAGACATGGCAGAGCATGCTGGCGGCCTATCATATTTGATGCTGATGTACACAGCCAGGCTCGTCGGCCAACACAATGGTGGCTGAGTCCAGCGTCAGCTTCTTTGTCTTCAGCTTGGCTGACCGTTTGGGGCAGTTCGACTCTCTTGCTTGAGATTGGCGCCGATGGTTTGTGCCACACACTACATACAACCATGTCTCGTATACACCGCCACTCATCCGGCTCCCTAGCGGCACGCCGCATTTACGCCAGCGCGCTTTCCTCCCCTCACGCAAAACCTGAATTTGGCAGCTGCTTTGCGAGCAGCTGTGAGAGTTAATGCATCTGCATGTCCTCGCCAGTATTCCAGCTTGACCAGTCTGAGCGGTAGTGGGGGCATGTGTGGTGGCGGCCGGCCGGCGCGCTGTGGTCTCTCGTGTTTTATGCGAGAAGGTACCCACTCCCGGCGATGTTCGATTGCTCGCTTGTCAGGGGCAGTCGGCTCGAACTGGGGCTGGCACGACGGGCGCAATCCCTTCTTGACTGCTAGGGGAAGAATAGGGAATAGGGGTCTAAATGAAGTGATGGATTGGGCAGTCCTCATTCTTGCTGGAAAATGGGTGGAAGAGGGGAACTTCCACCACCCACCATGTCTTCGATCGCGATATCCCATTCTCGGCCTGTGCACCATATATCCACTTGTCATCCGAGACGCCCATGCTGGCCCGAGTTGACGCTTCACTGATAATCTCAATCTCGTCACAAATGTGTCTCACCCGACCCCGCTGCAAAAGAAAGTCTAGTGGTGAGCGCATGTTTTTCATGTCCTTCGAGATAGGAATGTATTGAACTTCTCCTGCTGGCCCCAGTCCAGTCGTTCCACCATGGCGTTCATTCTTTTAGCCCCAGCCTCCTTGCACAGCCCGCCTGGCGACTGTCTCAACTGGCCGACCAGAATGAGACTCCACCGTCAGCTTCGACTATGTGCAGCCGTCCTTTTGTTGCTGGCAGCTCCTTGGCTAACTTCGCCTCCGAGTCTTTCACATCGCCCCACGCCAGTGCAAAACGGCTGTGACTGCATAATTTTCCGGCCCTCCACCTCCGGGTCGTCTCTCTCTCTCTCTCTCTCTCTCTTGCTTGGCGCTTCATGCGACGGTGTTTGTTGTAGGCCGCCTGCGTCGCAGCACTTGTTTTGGGTTCTGTCGTCCGGTCTTGTTGACTCGGCTCCTCGAACCAACAGACTCTTCCCCGAATTCAGGAATTCAGCTTTCGGTAGAGCTGACCCTCTGCCAACCTTTCACAGCCCTGACAAAACTTGCACCCGTCCCTTACCGAAACATCCGTTTTGCACCCTGACTGCTCTCTTACTTGCACACCGATGATCACGCACTCACCGACTGCAACGGTTCACTGAAAACTTGTCTCTTCAACTTTTTTTTTGGATCAAGGGTCTGGAACTGCATCCATATGTTAGCTCAGCTGAGGCTGCCTGACCTGACGGCCCTCCTTGCATAATATACCTAAGAAAAAAAAAGTTCTGAGAAGATCCTGGTCACAAATGCCCAAAGAAATACATCAGCAAGAATACCGCTGAGGGCCACAAGACAAAGGCTGACCAAAGAACGGCATAACTTTCCCTTCCAACATCGCGCAAGCTTCCCATCTGCAGGATGAGTCCGAGGCTGGCCAAAAGGCATGCGATGATGGCCGACACCATGGCCAAGCTCAAATTAAAATAGTGGCAAAGCACCTCAAAACCACAGGGTGAACGGCTTTCCCCCTTGACATAAATTTGTTGGCTCGTCAACAATCCAGCAAAACACTTGAGAGTCTAACCTGTTCAAGCACCTACTAAAGAAAGCATCTCGTCAAAGGAGGCATGAATCCAGCCAGGTGCGTGAATTGAACTTTCGCGAACCCTTTTAGAAAGAAGCAGCCTTTGTACAGGGGATTGTTTGAAACCTTCCACATTGTCAGGTCCAGCTGGTACCCGCTTTTTTTGGATAGAATTGGTGACGGCCAGCTTTTTGGAACAGCACGTCCGAATCGGTCTATATTGACTGTTGAATACTGTTTATTGAGAAAATATCCCATGTTCACTAAAGAAAAGTAGTCTTCCCAAGGGACCATTGTTCCACTTCTATGTTAGTGAGTCAGAGTGCATCGGCAGGGGAGTGTTTGATGTTTAATGTATATATCAAACTAATCTCCCCTGCTCCGAAGAACCCTGTGACGCTGCCTCCCCGTATTGATCAACCCTCAGCACTGGATTGGCTGGATTGGCTCCCTTTTCAGCTTCCGAAGACCAAGCGGCCAAGATCTTCATTCCAGCCGGGCATGACCAGGAATGGCAAATGAAGATATCCACCTTTGGAACCATGGGCAACGCCTCGTGGGACCTCAGCAAGCTTGACCAAAGCAGCTAAAGAGGACACTTGTCTCTTGCTCCCATCTGGCAAGACAGATGCAACTGGCTTCTTTGGTAGACCGAAAAGACATAAACGCCAAGATTGGCTTCAGAAGCAACTCACCCAAACGCGCGCAGTTGTCTGTGCCTGCAAAATCCATGAATGGCGTGGGAGAAGCTTCTGGAGAAATCTGGTGCTGAGGGATGTCAGAAGCGGATGAAGAGTCTGCTTTCTGTTGCCCACTCACAGACACAGAACATCTGCCGCTTGTTTCGAGGGTGATATAGAGGAAACTTCCCGAAAGAGGGCAGCCGGTCCCTGAAAGGTCGTGACACCAAAACGAGGACACCAAAACGGGTGATCCGAAGGCCCTCGACGACCAGGCCGCGCGTTGGGGTTCGTGGACGGCCACAGCAGATTCCAGATCACATTCCAAGCAGATGCAGCTCTGCATAGACCCAGCTGCTCAGCAAGACTCACTTGCTTTCGGATCACCTGCATGGTCGCTGCTGGGCGTCGCCATCATGGTAACAAAAACACACCTGTCGGTGAGTGCCAAGACTTGAGCCCATGCGTGGACCATTCTCTCTGTGGACATGCTGGCCAAGACGTCGCCGAAACGTCACGGCCAACGACCCGATCTCTCAGGCTTCAGGTTCACTTTGGATGGTGCTTAGTGCTTCCCCTTATTGAGCAAAAATAACTAACAAAAACCAGCGTAACCCAAAGGGTGGTCTATATACTATGTTGTTCCCACAGTTAGTGGAGACCCATGGTCAGGGGGTCTGTATATCATTCGAACTGGGTGGTCCAGGTCATGGGCACTTCCTTGTTCTGCGGTTCGCGTGCCCAGGAGGTCGTGGTCGGTGCCTTTTACTCACGAACCTGTACCACATCCTGAATCATGATGGATCTACAGTTTGTAGGTAGTCCAACTTTGATGCCCACATGATAAACAGCCAAGTGAGTATCTCTTGCAGAGTGTTCACTGATTATGGATAACACGACTATAGTTCATAGTTCCAATACCTACGGCGATATCTTCTCCATAGCTTTGGTGGCCCCAGCGAGTCAATCTAAATGAAACCTGTGCTGAGTGCTAGCTGGTTTGATCCAACACGTGCCATCTTTCGCAATCTGGAACCCGCCACAACCACACCAAAACCTGTAGAAACCCAAAGAACCTGCCGCAGGCCGATAAGGCCCCTAAAGCCACAAGAATGGAATCCTCCAACCTGGTCTCCCCCCCCAAAAAAAGAAGGACCAAGTGTATATATATATATATAAATAAGCCCCCCATAAATCCAAAGAAACCAACAACAACAACAACAACAACAACAACCACGACGACGACGACGACGACGACGATGACGACAACAACGACAACGACAACGACAACGACAACGACAACAACAACCACCACAACAACAACAACAGGGCACCCTTTTCTCCCCAGCGAAGCATCGGACAGAACCCGGAAACCTGTACGCACCGAAGCGCGCTGCGCGGTGGCTCCTGCTTCACCTCCTCAGCCTCCAAGGCTTGCACACTGCGTGCATGGCCTTGGTAGCGAACGGACGCCACGATCGGAGCCAAGGGTAGCTGGCATCGCAAACGCTAACTAGTAGCAAGATGCTGCGAACGGGGCTCCTGGCCGTACTACTTACTAGGAACAACGGACCGCTACTAGCAACGGCATCGCCACGAGGAGGGACGCAGAGGTGAAGACGGACACAGCGGAGAGGTGAAGACGACGTGAAGACGACGGACAGAGTGAGGGTCTGGGCCCCAAAGCGGGAACGACGTGTGTGGTGGTTTGGGTTTGGCGGGTGTGACGTGGTTCTGGAAGTCATGAGAATGAGAGACAACCTCTAATCCTGGGTCAAAGGCGAGGTAGGAAGGGACTGACATGCTGTTGGCGCAAGCTGCTTCCTCGGCGTCTTCGGTTCGTGAACGCACGACGAGCTCGGTGACCGAGACGCGAGCCGAAGGCCCTGCGAACGATCAAAGAGCTTTTGCGGCGGGCAAATGTCCTGAAAAGCATGTAGCCTTTTTGGTTTCTCGGACTTGGGGACCCCTGTAGAAAGGGTTTGGCCAATTGTTTGGTTCCCAAATATATACTGCGTTTCTCTGGACGACTGGCTTCGCAGGAGAACAAAAGAACCATGGCATTCCGCACGGTCAGGTTTCCGTCTGAACGTGCTGAACGTGCCGAACGTTCTGAGCGTCGGACATGACGAGTAGGTGTCCCAGTGGGCCTCACCCGAGCTCGAACGACTTTGCCACGGGAGAGTGGATCAAAACGGCCGATCGAGACCAGGAAGTAGTAGCTTCTTGTTACTAATAGCAAGAATGCTACTGGTAGTAATGCCCTTGTTACTAGTAGCAGTGCCCTTTATTACTAGTAGCTTCTTGTTCCTACTAGCGTCCTTGCTATTAGTAGCGATGCCCGGATTCCTAGTAGTGATGCCAGGAGCTACTAGTGGTTTCTTTGCTCCTAGGAAGAAATGATTTCAAAGGGCCAAAGGGCCCTTTGGATCGACATCACATGGGTGACACTCTGGGCCTGTACATAAAGCCGGCCGAGGACCCAACCTTTGGATTGTTGCAAGTGGGGCTCAATGATTGAAGCCCCTTGGACAGAAACTCCCCTTAGCGAATCCCAGTGCTTCACCCCCTCGCAAAAGTCATCCGATCTGTTGCAGCTGGCGAGGTCACTGTCACTACCCGCTCGCATGCGTCCAACTCGTCCAGCTTCACACAAGTCCTTCAAAGGTTGCCAAAGCAATCCAACAGCTTCCTAGCAGCAAGAAGCTACTAGTAGCTCCTGGCATCGCTACTAAGAACCTGGGCATCGCTACAAGTAGCCAGGACGCTAGTAGGAACAAGCAACAGCTTCACCTTGTTCGATTGAATTGGCGCCCGAGCGACGACAGCTACCCGCCGGACCGGCTGGACGGCGCCTCCTGTGTGCCGGCAAGGTCGCAGTAGGCCTGGCAGTCGAGTAGAGAGGTCGGGGAGGTCTGGGCGTCAGAAACGAGGAGGTTTGAAGATTCGAAGAGGTTCTAAAGAAGATCGCATAATTATTGCAGTTCAAGTCAAAGGACTTGACAGGTTACCCACCAGAAGTTCAATTATCCATCCGGATCTCCGTGGGCTGCAGATCTCTGTGGGAGTTTGATAGAGGCGATGATGGTGGGACGTACAAGTCGCTGAGTACAAGTAGCTGAACTCAGCCAACAACTAATGTACTTGTACTACTTGTACTACCTGTACTAACTTTTGTTTGACAGGTCCTTTCTTTCCGAAAAGGTCAGGTCCAACAACTCAATGATTCTCCGAGTCGATGTATGCCGATACGCCGATGGCCAAGGCTTAGGTGCTGATCAACGCCGATACACCGTCTAAAAGAAGAAAAGAAGTGCCAGTAGTCAAGATACACTGCTTGAAAATGGAGGGGTTTTTCCTGTCTTCAATCTTCACACTGATTCGGACTCTGCGGATTGACGCAGGTGTCCTGGAATCTGGAGGTGTACCAAAGACTCACTCCCTCATGTGGGTGATGCCGGTGCTGGACTCGTTCTGTGTGTCCAACAGAAAGATGAACTCGTTGAGTATCGTAGACCCACATTCCAAGACACTCGGGAGCCACATCGTGGCCTTCGGCTAAAACATGCTAAAACTCTCCAAAGCCACCTGCTCAAAGGCGGACTGGTTGCTATTGCACAAGGCGTGCTTCTCCTGCGCAGGCGAAGCGATCGACCGCATGAAGGCAAAAAGGGTTCCCAACTGCACTGTGGATGGAATGTCGGGCTTTAGCAGTAGCATGAAAAGATACAAAGACCAAAAATGAGTTGTCTTCTTCATGATCTTCGATGGCCATCTGAATCTCTTCTTGAACAAGCACGATGACTTGGAGTTAGCGGCAGCGCGAACCCTGCAGGAAGAAAGGGGCTGACGTTGACCAGAAAAGAAATGGAACAACGACCAATGCGATCTGCTACCCTGAAAAATGTGTGGACAGATGGTCAAACATGTGCTAACTGCTGTTAGGGGTGCTGTACTGCGTCTGGTTGTGATTCTCTGACCTTTAGACCCATGTCCTTCCAGGCTTCTTGCTTCAGCTGGCAAGTGTAGGAGCTGTTGCAGCCTAAGCCGCCAGCAATTACGGAAGCGGGCCAGCAATTCCCCCCCAATTCCCCGGCCGCGCAATATGAAAGAAAGCCAGGCGACGCTCAGGCGAGGTGGTTTCCGTTGGTTTCCCAACAAATGGAGGGGTGTTTTTTCCAATGGATGGAGCAGGATGAACTGATCATCTCAAATGTCGGCTCCTATTTACCGGGACGACCACCAAGCATCAGCGCCGGGTGGCTTTGCACCGTGGGTTTCCACAAAAGGAAACAACACCAACAACAGCCCGGTCCACTCGTAAATCTGCTACGACCCGCCGAACATCCGAACCACCACGCCGAACAAACATGCATCACACCGAATCACACCCACCAAACATCATCACATCAACCACTGCCGCGGTCCGCACAGCCAGCGTTCCCGGTGTTTCAACCCGCCTGCGCGCCGTCCGTCGCGGCGCACTGGGTCGCCGGGCCGAGGCGGGACTGCTCGCACGCGTAGCTGGCCTCGTTGTACCTGGCGATCGAACAAGCGGCCAGTCCTCAGCGCTGGCGCAGCCCAAACGGCACGGGGAAGCGATGTGAGTAGCACGTCGGGGGGGTCTGGTGGAGCCATCTATAGGTTGTCCCTACGTGTCGTAACAGATGCAACAGGTATGGAAATTGTCCGTTCTTCGGAGACACTTGAACTGATGCTTCAACATGTTGAGCTGTGTTTGTTGGAGCCGTTATGGAGCCGCCGCATTTGGGCGCCGTTCCCCCAACGCTCCAAACCGCCCGCCCACCAGCTCACCAAAACCGCAGTGCGCTTGTTCGCGGTTTGCTAACAAGAAGCTCCCACACCACACAGGGGTGGGTGCTCGGCCCTTGGGGGGGGGGGCACTCTTGCAACTTCAACTCAAAGAAGGCCAACTTGTTGTCCAAGTCCTTTTCTCGGCACTTGGACCTCTGCGACGTCGGCGTCGGAGTGGAGTGGCAGGGCCGACGCGGAAGTCGAGCACCGGAGCCCCAAGACCCGACCGCGGCCTGGACCTCGGAAGGTGTTGGGGTCTGGGCTGAACCAAAACGGTTCGTCCACAAAGCCTGCGGTGTCCTCACAGAACAGCAAGGAGTCCTGTGGATTTCACGGCATGAAAAGCATCTCCTGAACTGGATGTTCGTTGCTTCTCCTGGGCGGGATCCCGATGTTCACATCTGCCAAGGGTGGTCACTAGATTTGCTCTGCAACTTGAATCCAACAAGTCTCCATCAGGCTGAACGAGTCGTAGACTGGAGGCTACCCTCTCACTCACTAATATGGAAGCGGAAAAACTCCTGTGCCTAGACGAATTGAATGTAGTCTTCTGTGGGACCATGCCATCCACTTCCATTTTCTGTGAGTCGGAAGCTTAATTGCTGAGCCCTAATCATTTGTCAGTGCCAAATCACTAGTCTCATACAAATGCACTTGTCAGCGTTGAGTCAGCATGCTCCCTGCATCGTTCTGAAAAGCAAAATCAATTTAAAAGAAGGTCTCAGACAAAGGACATGTAGCCATTCCAAGGCTCGAAAGGTTGGATATGGTGGAATATTGCATTGTCCATCAAGGTTGCGCCCGCAAGCCACACACAGCAATACCACGCCCATCTTGAAGAAGCAACGTATGATTTTCGCCTGCGATAGTCATTACAATAACTGATTTGGTGTCCCATGTTTTCCTCAATTTAGCATCCAAAGCAAACTGCTTTGAGGTTGCTCAATAGTGTGAAAGGTGAGAAATAGAGTCCTCCTCAAGTGGACAGAACATGGAACACCCATAGTCATAGACCCATAGATGCTGCAACTATTGCGCTGGCAACTATTGCGCTGGGTCGGGATAGGTTGAATTTAAAGGAGATTGATAAACCATGATCAATCAAGCACTAAGCACCTAAGTTCCATCCTTACTCGCCACCCCCCATCAATGTCAATCTTCCAAGTTCGAGCTTGGCTGGACAGCCAGGAGGCTTTGCGGCCAAAAGTGCCCAGTTGGAGAAAGAAAAAGAATGGTTGGGTCTGATTGTCTAGGAAAAAGCTCCCATTTTAGGCCCGCTCCACCCGGCTGATTCCCTCTGAGTTCTTCCGGCGCAGTGTCACACTCCGACTGGAACGTCAAAGGCCTGATGAGTGACGAACGGAAGAGAAGGGGTCGAGTCGAGTCCACACACCGGGGCAATGTTGTGAATGTCTTGGGGCCACACTGGGGGACCAGTTTTGATCGTCGAATGTTCTTCCCAACGGCAAGAGCTTCAAAAGATCTCTCCCGTTCAACAGATTCAACAGACCATGTGGTGTGTTCAGGAAGCTGTAAGGCTTTTCAGGTTTTGTGAGCCGATGATGTTGAATCACCAACCAGGCGAAGTCTTCCGGGCCCAGTCATGTCACTGGACACCAGTGGCTTGACACCACTGTGGCCATTTTGGGGCTACAACGCAACAGCTCAGAGTTCCATCATCTGTCTAAGCAACAACTTAGCAAATCGCTTTCATGACTGTAGAAGGCCTGCCAAACCACCCCCTTGTGGAAGTCTCAGTGAAACTGGCACTGATCCATCTCCCTCCCCGTCTCAGACGCCTCCACCCAAAGCACGCGGGGTTCGGGTTTAAAGAACGAAGGCTATGCTAGCGAGCAATTTCCTCCTCTTCCCAGGTGCCCGGGCGAAGGAGGGCTGGGAGGACTCAGGCAATAGGGATTCGGCTGAATGAGATCCACACAGCATTCCGTGGTGTTGGCGCATCGCGCCTCGCAGCGAACAGGCTGACGGGATCCGACGGGGGGTCAGGAATGGGTTTAGGGTTTAGGGTGCGAGGAAGAAACATGAAGAAACTGTGAGGTCGCAGCGATTTCGAGTGGAGTGTTTAGGGTTGCCTTTGTTCCCTTCAACCCAGCTATTTCGAGGTGGGTTGCCTTTGAGGAGATGCCAGCTTTAACACGTAAGCAAAAGGGTCTTGGAGTGGACCTTTTCTCCGTAAGCAAAGCTTTCTCGGCTGTTGCGAACATCCACCAGAGGCTTTTTTGTACAGTATGTTTTTGTGCACATGATCCTTGGGCGGATGTAACCCCTTCTGCCACATATGTCCAACATCAGACCCTCCTTCTGTATTCTATCCAAGGTCACTACCATCTTCCATCATCTCCCTTCTGCTTGGGCTCCTCGGGTTTTTCAGACACCGACCCTTTGGTCGGTTTCGGCATGAGAGACCGAACCAATCGACCCAAAAACCTCCAACATCACCTCGGCTCAACCATATGTCCGTAAATCTTCCCACCTTCGACAACTCGACCTCACCCGGAGGATCGCCCGGCCATCGCTCCGACGCCACGAACCACCACTCTCCGCCTCCTCTGAGAGGCAATGTTGGTAGGCATCTCAGGCGGTGCTCGGGCGGTGTCTCGGGCGTCATGCTTCGAAGGTCGGGTGGCGGAATCCAGGGATCCCCAAGACCCTGGCAGAGCTCTAAAATGGCCAAAAGCATCCAAAGGCTATGTCAGGATTGGAAAGGCTATGGCAGAGAGAGAGAGAGAGAGTTTGCACCAAGCACTGAATGACAAAGGTTCCAAGTGATGCATGTGTGCCATCTGATTGGAAGTTTGGTAGAGTATGAGGACGGTGGATTTGCTAAAGGGATCTGAAGACCAAAGAGAACCTGTTTTGTAGCTTCCCCGTGTCAAACGAATCAGTACTTTCCTGTAGGGACTATGTGTGGCAATCTCTAAACCTACAAGAGGCTCCTAGTTGTGCTAGTTGTGCGGCATGTGTAGCACATCTAAGAGTCTAAATTCCTTGCTTTCCAGATGAAACCCTCAACTTGTTGACCGCCCCACGAACCCCAGCCCGGGCGGGTTCGTTTGGGTTCCCTCGGTTTCGTCGCACAGCTCGGGCGACCGGGCCATAGTAGCTCTTCTCGTCGGCACCTCAGGACCCCGGTTTCGACCGGGATGGCTGGAAACGAAGTCCCTACCGGCAGCGGTTTCGAAAAGGATCTTCTTTGGGGTTGGGGAGCGCAAATGCTGGGGAGCGCGCGCGGAGCTGGGGAGCCCAAAGAAGAGTGTTCAAACAGGAGTGATTCCAGCGGTGTGTCTTGGGATCTGTAGTCTTTAAGTCTTTAAGTTAAAAGTCACACCGTAAGCAGAAGGGCCATCTTCTGGCGGGGAGTTGTTTGTTCTCCATCTTCTGTCATGAGTAAGAGTTTTGAGAAAAGCTCTTGCTATTCGTCCCCAGATTCAACACATCCTCTGTTTTAGCAGCTGACAGGTCACCTCTACTCGCACCTTGCCCCCCCCAATTAGTTGGTGTGCTTGAGTGGCTGGGTGCCTCGCAGCCTGGTAGCGTCCTTTCATGTGTCCTTTCGGCGCAAAGAAGCTCAGATCCCCATTGCCAATCCGTAGAAGGATTCTGGCAAGCGGCCTTTGTTTCTAGGCAGGTCTCGAAACCTTCCTTGCATTCCCTAGAGCCCAGGCTTCCACCCGAACGCTCTCCGCGCCGCCTCCGCAGCTCCACGTCTTCACCACCGACCGCCACAAAACCAGCCCCAGCGGCGGCAGTCGAGGACATCCTTGACGCCCAGGTGAAGAGTGGCCTCCGGGCTGCCGAGCCGTCGCTCCTTCACCGAGGAGAGCCGTCTCCTTCCTCCTCCCTATGCGGAAAGCCCCTCTGTTTCTGGAACATCCGGGGCCAATGGTGGTCGTCAAAACCAGCTGAACTTGGAGAACTGGTGCCTTCGGCTTGGATCATTCGGCCAGGATTTCGAGGGCCAAGTGGATGATCGACAGCAAAACTTATAGACTAGCATAAGAAGGAACTCTTCGGATAGGATGATGAACACTTTTGGAGCAGGCCCAGGCGGCCCAGGATGTTCCTTTTCTTCGGCCTTCTAACATGCAGGCCTCTCAACGGGGGAAACGATACAAGAAAGAAAGAAAGAGTCCCCGCTTCGCCATGACAGCTGACCCGTTGGGCAGATCAACCCCTATGGTCCATAGAAAAAACTTTAAGCATTTCCCAGGCGTATGGGGTTTATGAAGCAAGCAACATCACTTGCGGACATCCCAAGACCACCCAGATTTCGGCGTGACACCCAAACAGAAAGCGATGGCATGTCACTTAATTTGCGATAGAAAGAACGTTTCGTGGTCATTTCCGTGCATCAAAAAACCTCTCAAACCCAACATGAAACATGTTCATGATCTTGTCAGGCAAAGAGCTGGGGTGAATGAACAAACATGAGAATTTGAGCCAAATTCATTCTCTCTCTCTCTCTCTCTCTCTCTCTCTTCATCTCTTTTCCTCTTTCTGCCGTCCCGCGCGTCCCTTCCATCGCCTCGAAGTCCGGCATGCTCCTCGAACGCCGAGCGGCGGCGGGGAGACCGACCGGACCGGAAGTGGCCGGTCTCCACGCGCGTGCAACACAGATTGGCGCAGTGGTGTGGGGGGAAGAAGCCGCAGAAGTGCAGGGAGTAAGTGAGATGAACGGCCTTTTGCGGCAAAACTCCCTACAGAAGACCCCATACTTGCCGGCTGGCCCTGGCCTTGCTAAAAGGATTACAAGGGGAAGCAATGGGAGAATCACATACTGTTGGAATCACACAAGCTTGCCCCAGCTTGCTAAAAGTGGAACGAGAAATCTCACAAGTGTTACAACTGCAATCCCAACTGAAGAAGACCTGTCAAACAAAAAAGTAATCCAAATATCGAAATCTGCACGCATACAAGCCCTTCCAGGCCCCCCCTCCACCCAGGTGGGCCAGGCTTTTGGCCCTCCAGTCCACCCGACGAGCTCCGCTCGCGGAGCCCCAGGCTTTATCTGGGCTCTCCCAGCGTCTCGGCAGGGACGCTGCAATTCTTCACGGCAGACTGCTTCTTGTTGATCTCCTGGGCCCCCGCCATTCGTTCATTTTTGCCGCACGTCGGTCTGGAAAACGCGGCCCGGCACGAAACGAGGTCCACCGCGGCATAAGCCCTCAAAACAGTTCACGGCACACGAAAAGGTGAGCTCCCCCTGCTTGGCATCTCAAGCAAACCCTTGTATAGTCCTTGGAGCCATCCATCCCCTTTGGACGAAACACCCTCCGCCCTATCCGCTGGACTCCTGCTGCGCGGCGGCGTTGCCGGTGGTCACCGAGTCCTGCAGCTTCATCGATGAACGACATGGGCTGAAGACATGGGCCAGGACCTTCCCAGTGACCGAACCACCTGGAGTCCTTGGTGACCTTTTGCAAGCCTGTTGGTGACCTCAAACCAGGGGATCAAGGTCGGTCATTGGGAAGATCCAGGGGTGTGTATTTCAATAGGAAGGTGTTCTGGCCCTGTCTGGGTAGACTGGTCTGTTTTTCCGAACCTTCCAGAAGGTCGCAGAAGGTCGGTCTCCCTATTTGAATACCCACATTGGGACATCCAGTCCAGCCTTGTCGTTCCCTTGGCCTAAAGATCTTTCGACCTGAAAAAGAAAGCTGATCCACTTCCGGAAGAAGTGCAGCTGCCCCAACCATGGTTGGCATCCCTTTTCCAACAAGAAGGAGAAACCAGATCAGCGACCCAAAGACGTCGTCGTTCGTCCGGATCCAGCGACGGACCGACGCGAGCGTCGGCGCCGCCTTCATGTCGGTCAAGATCTGCGAGATGCTCTCCACAGCCGCCTCAGTGACGGGCGACTGGCGACTGGCGACTGGCGAAGCGCCCGTCGCAGCGGTGGTAGTGGTACCGAAGCAACAAGGAGGGAAAAGCATTCTTTATATTATGCAAACTGCTAGATTCATATGCCATATGTTCACCTCGTGTTTGCCTTGTACTTGCCAGGCGGAACACATCGTTAATGTGACCCGAAGTGACGTAAAACCATTGATCGGCCGGACGATCTTTGCCTGCCTGGAGGCAAGTTCTTAGCCTGCCTGGATCTTCATCCACACAGATTCATCAACTGATTATCAACCAATGTGTACGCCCTTGCAACAATGAGAGTTTGCAGAGTGTGCATCCTTCATCCACCTCCAAACCATGGAAATCCAATTGTCCATCTAGAATTGAATTGTGATATGCGTCATCAAACTTGTGCACTGCCCCAAAGTGTTCCTCCCACCTTTCCCTAGAGTTGAGGCGAACAATCTTCCAAGCCCTCGAGTTGGGGGCGAATCTTTGCTTTTCTCTCTTGAAACCTCCACATGCTTCACGTGAGTTCTGCGTGCCTTCATCTCCTCATCGGGGGCGCCACTCTTGTGACTCGGTCGTAGCGGCGGATCACGTGTGTGCACAACACACGAAGGAATCCAGCTGAGCATTACGTAGATGGCGTTGCAAAACTAGTGTGAGATGTCAACCACCGTCAGCCACAGCCAAAAACGCTTCCAACAAGACACAAGACACTCAAGGGCTCTTGTTGGAAGCCTTGTTTGGTGTCTAGTTTGGAAGCCCCTTCTTCTGAGGTTAGGCTTCATCCTTCCACTGGGAGCCCAGGCTTCTTGGCCAAGGCCAAAATGCTGCTGGCGAGTCCATCCAGCCCCTTACCTCGGCGACGGAGCTGCCGGACGGCGGTTCGCCGGTGGCATCGGTGGCATCTGGTAGGGGCCTGTAAGGATGTTTTTCTCGAAAACAGCATCCAAACAACAAACAAACTCATCACCATCCTAACTAGCATTTGAATGGCTCCCCATGGCATGAAGATTTTCACGCAGCTTCATGTCAAAAGTGCTCCGATGGTCCCACCCTGAGGGTTGATGGAAACGCATCATCCATCGGCTTGTTGGGTTCTTTCCGCGTTGGGAACTGGGTTCCGCCCACGCGAGCCGTGGAGCGTGGATGATCGTGGAGCGTGGATGAGGACCCAAAAGCTGAATAGGATGTCATAAGCCCATCCTATATAGCCTAAGAAGCCAAGTAACTCCGATCAAGATCATGTTGCCAAAAGAACTCCAACGCCACAGTAAAATCTCTCATTGGAGTTTCTTTGGCCAAAGTCCATTGAAAATCCAGTAGTTCATGTCTCCTCGAAAAGAGTCACGCCATCGCATCGCAAAACCAAAAGACTCGACTCATCAAGGGAATTCTGTTCACTTTTCAGCGGACTGAACGGCACTTTGCAGTGGGAGCTCAAAGAAAAAGGCCGCAAGCTTCCGCAAGACCCCAAAGGGCCCCAAAACCACTGGCCCAAAGCATGGCCTCATCCTCTGCTCTTCCCTTCGAGGTCCCCACTCTGCTCCTCTTGGCTCTCGCCTGGCAAAGCCCAACTCTTGGTCCTCGGAAGACGTGACCAGTTCTGGTGCCGATCGACCCGTCCGTGCCGTTCAACCCGGTCGACGTGCGTTTTTGGGTCGTGGGGGGGTCCTGACGGCTGACCTTGGTTGATCCAGATTTGGAAGGTGATGACAGAATCCAACCTAGTTGGTTCGGTTCAAGGTTGCATCACACTTTGTGGACTTGAACACAAATGAATGTTGCATGTCATCTATATATATTCTGTTGTATTCCTCAGCACGTGGGTCGCGATGCTCAAGCCATGTGGTTATCTCTGAAGAAACCACATCGTTACCGGCTGAGGATGTGGAAGCCATCCAGTGTTATACCACCCCACTACCTTTTAGCATGCTCTTGAAGCGCCCCTACTTTGTGAGGGGAATTAGACCACCAGACCAAGGGGAACAAGGTTTGAGTGGCTCTGCATATGATATTCGCAGTTTGAGTCGCATCTTCAACGCCGCTGCAAATCTATACCAAAAGCAGAGATGAGGCTCCACAGCTAGTGAGCTGCCTATTGAGCCACCGAAGCAGGTTCAAATAACAAGAAGGGCCCAGCAAGCAACCTGCCTGGTACAAAAAACTCGTGACTCCTAACTCCTAGGCCGAGTTAGACTAGGGGTTCAATCTCTTCCAGGTTGTGTTGGATGTCGGAAGGCTATTGCTATCTTTGAACCAATGGATCAGGTCCTTTTGAGCACTGGCACTAGACTAGACCAGGTCCACTAGACTGACTGAAAGGTCAACACCACGATACCTTGGTTCACCAGGATGGACCTACCTGGGTTTTCCGGGACCGTTCGCGGCGGCGTGCATGGTGGACGGACGACCTACCTCGGGCTTTAGGTGCCATGACCCATCCGTTCTCGGCTTCGCAAAGGACTCCACTGCTTTCCTTTCAAGAAAAGGAAAAAAAACAAGCAAGGGACCATCCAAGAAGAAAGGACTTGATAGATGGTTCCATATGGACCCCATATGATCATCTGGTGTATGTTTCTTTCCACTCATGACACGAGCCGTCCGTCAAGTCGACCATTCAAGGACCCCCGCAGGAGCGACAACCACGGATTGGTTGGCTTGTCATCGGCCAACAAGCCTAGGGAGCGACAGAAGCCGACCATCACTGTTTCTCCAACATATTCTATGTCCTTCTATGTTTGGCGTCACTATAGTCACTATAGCTTACAGGCTGAATGTTGGAACTCTCAAGCTAGCCAATCTGGACCCGCTGCCTTCGGCCAAACGGCCCGAGATCTCGACAGATGAGTTGACCCGCACGGGGTCCCGTGGGTACCCAGCGTGCTTTTGGCAGGCACATTCCATTCATTTCACTGGCCTACTTACGTACTTTTCACCCAGTCGGGGGTCCCGAATAAAGAGTTGCACCGAGTTGGGCAAGCCCTTTCACCAAGAGTTGCTTAGAGAGACAAATACCTGGAATCCAACCTGCATAGGCCACGGATAGACAAGGTAGAGGGCAAAGAAAAAGGTGCTCAAAAAAGAAGCACTTAAGCAGGTCACCCTCAGGGGTCAACTACCAATAACTGCTGTAGTTGATTCAGACAAGGAGACCTGGGACCTGGTACAGTCCTGGAAGGTTTGAAAACCTAGCCACCACCAAGAGGCTGTGTGGTGCCACTTCCCAGAGCGAAATGGATTGAACCGTTTGAGGCAAAGGACTTCGTACGACTTTTGCGAACTCAGAGAGTTCACTCCCCTTCATTGGCCCTCCGGCACCTTGTCAATCGGTCTTCGATCGCCACGGACGGTCTTAGCCTCCCGGCCTCCGGTGGCAGACTTGGCCTTGCCAGCGGCCTGCGACACGAACCCTCCACGTGCTTCGCTCGACGTCCACGTGGTTCGCCAGCGGCATCTCGGACCCAGCTGAGACGTCCAAGACGTCCTGGTTGCTGAGAGCCTGGTTACTGACCTGTCAGGTCTACCACTCTCCGCCCAAAATCAGGCTAGACTTGTTCGGGGCGGCCTCGGCGTCAGAGGGATCCGGGACCCCACTTAACCACATGAACCTGCAGTCGAACCAAAGATGAACCTGCTGCATCTGTTCCTCATGTCTTCGAACTTCGTGGGGGTGAAAAAATGGAGTCACCGCCCAGCGCAGCATCCCCACCGAAGCGCTGAAGTTCACGGTGTTGGCCCCACGTTCTGAAGTTCTGACAACATTGAAACCAAAGCAAAGGAGCACACCGACATGCTGCTAAAACTGCAGCGAACGAAAGAACAAGGGGCAGTGTTGACCATATCCCAGTCTCCCCACAAGTTGCCCCGGCAATGTAGACTGAAACAAGAACCGTTCAGATGTGGGAGCCAGTTGGGTGGAGGGTCTTGTCTATCGAGCAGTCTAAGCAGTCGGCACATGTCTGCCGCCCTGGCCCGCCCCCCAGGCCCCCAGGCCACGGCGAGTGCGGAAGAGAAGGAGCTAGTGAGGATGAGTGCAAAAAACTTCATTGCCTCAGCCCAGTCTGTTGAAGCCACCCACGGCTACTCCCACGCACTTCGTGTCGTTTTGCGCCGGAAAAAGATCGCACCAAAGACCCGCTTGTCACCGTGAAAAACGACACATGCGCCCAGAGTGACGCACTTTGGTGTTGAACACCCCAACAAACACCGCGAGAAATGACGAGGGTGCCCTTCCAAAAAGTCGAGGAAATGTACTTCTTGGTGTTCTGTGAATAGATCTCTGGCAAGAACTGCACGTGTCGGTTGGAAGAACCGAGGTGACCAGGCACAAAAACCTTGCTGGGGTCTTTCAACGTGTCCAATGCACTGGACAGCCAAAAGTGAAGAAGAAAGGGCCTTTCGGAAGACTGTCTTTTCCCAAACAGGCGACAAGTTGTCACTATTTGTTCGAGGGATGTTATTCAAAGCATACTCTTTGCAATGTCCAGACTGATGCTCAACTCTCTGGTTTCATGCTACAAGGTCCCTGTAGTCCCTGAAATTCAGATAGCCACCCACCTAGGTTGGATCATGATTCTATATGGTGCATAAAAACAGGAAGACCTCCCAATTCAACCAGTCTACCCGTTGCGCCAAGGGGGTCTCCCCATTAAAATGCACATTGCCATGTGATGACCATGCCCACCATGCCGTCGCCTTCCAACCTTGCGATCCCTCAAGTGATCCAAGTGGCGAGTCGGGATCGGTGAATGAGACGAACCGACAATCACGACAGCTACAGTCACGCTGTGGAAGCCAGCTGCAGACGGTGACATGTGCGACACTTGACCGTGACGCATCACAAGTTGCCGACAAAAGGCACACAAACCACAAAACTGATGGACAACGTGCAAGCAAAGTGGTTTCATAGAAGGGGTCCGGAAGGGATGTTTGGAATGAAAGATCTACCGCAACAGAAACTCGAACATCTCGGATTATTTTTGGGTTCGAAAGGGCCTGCCTGGTGGATCAAGGCCGCTCAAAATAGACAGTTCGCCACTGGTAGCTAAGGTTAGTAGCAAAAAACCGTACCAAAAAAGAATGTTCAGGCCGCCTGATTCTCAAGCGCGGTTTCTTCTATCCGGCCCCAACCAAAAGAAACCATCCCATTAAAAACTGCCACCTACCGTTAAGTCTGTTAATTTTTTCATCTAGATCTTGATTTAGATCCTCATTCTATTTACTGCGAAAGCGCACCTTTTCTTGATCCTAAACGGCCTGACAATGCCATTTGTGAAACAATGAGTACATCTATACATGTTAAGCACTCCCTCTTTGTTTGCGGAGTTAATGCTGCTCTCTCTTTTCTCGCACAATTCCAACTCAATATGTGATGAAAACCACCATTTTCTGTGTTCCTCGTAGAGTTTTCGCAGTTTCACGTTGTAGAACTCGGCACCATCTTCAAGTTTCAACAACTCTTCTTGTGCCTGCAATGACGCCCTGGCCCTCAGAGTGTCCATGTTCTCATCGACATCTGTGGGTCCATCGTTGCTTCTCCTTCGCCCGTTGTTTTCATTGCTGCGGCATCTGTCTCTTTCTGGTGGTTGAGCTGCCTCTCATCCTTTGTTCTTGGTGCATTTCTGCAATCTCAACTTCTCTTCTATCATCCAGCAGCACTGTAGCTGTCATGCTACTCAGATTCTCTTCAGTTTGATGTTCCTGCATTTCCTCTCGAAGGTGTTGGAGTATCTGCTTGAAAACGTATTCTCCTCTCTACTGTGTGATTGGCTCCTTGTCTCCTCACACAAGCTTTGCGTACAATAAGCCTCTTTGCCATCTTCTCTGGTTCTTGATCGCCTCTCTCAAGAGACTCCATGCATCTTTCCTCTTCTGAAGTCCTTTCTTGTAGCACAACCCTTGCAACTGGTTGCACAGACAAGTCAAGAGGCATAGTAGTAGGTAGTGTTCAGGCAGTGGCGGCCATAGCAAACGACGAAAGCCTGCAGGTAAGGGTGCGAAAGGCTCACCCCCCGAAGGAAGGTCATCTCTGCACCCTTTGGCACACAAAGGTGCCAAAACGGGGTGTGCTCTAACCTTGAGACATGCTGCGTCATTGCAAAAGCATTGTCCTGTTGCGTGCAAGGCCCGTGTGAAACAATACCAATGCCCGGGACTTGCATTGTGATCAGGTTTTTGAGTGCAGTGCCCTTCCTTCAATGATGACCTGGGCGCCATGCTTTTTTTTCCACGAGTACGGACGCCGTGTGGGCATAGTGCCCAGGTCATCATTGAAGGAAAGGAAAAACAATCAGATGGTGGAGAAAAGGACAAAAAACAACCCAACAACAAACCAAACAAACAAAACAGAGCCCACAGGCCGAGTCTCCACCATCTTGTAGTCTTTCCTCTGTGCTAAGGTGAAACAGGTGAAACGAAGACTATTCTCTATCAATGGGTCTGAATTCGCGAACGAAAAGCATGGCAGCGCGGGCTTATGCTCTAGCAAAACTTCCAGAAGTCTTCAAATGGACTTTACTTCCCAATTACTAGTAACCAGCGGCCACTGCACAGTGTGGCAAAAACCTGGTCACGATGCAGGTCAGGAGCATAGCTATGCTCCTTCGCCGGTTGTATCCATGTCAAAAGGATCAATGGTTGCTATGCTTCATGCCGTGGAAAAAGCCTTTCTTGTGGCACAACCCATTCAACTGGTTGCGCTCGCAAGTCCAGTGGCATACTAGTTGATGATATAGAAGGTGGCGGTCAGAGCGAACGGCGAAAGCCTGCAGGTAAGAGTGCGAAAGGCATCCCCCCCAGAAGGGAGGTCGTCTCAGCACCCTTCGGCACCCGGAGGTGCCAAAACGGGGTGTCTCCTAACTCTGTGAAATGTTGCAGCATAGCGAAAAGTGGTCTGTTGCGTGCAGGACCCGTGTGAAACAGGTGAAACATAGGACCTATGCTAGCATGGTATCTGTGCCCCTTTGTACAAAATTGGAAATGTCGAACATCAACAGAGGGAACTAAGGTTCCCCCTGGGCATCCTCCATTGCCACTTTCTACCACCACCTGTGGGGAACGAGGAGCTAAGGCTCTCATTCCCACTGGCTCACTGTATTGCGAATGGCGAAAAGAGGTCCTACTTAGTGTTTGCGCATTTCCTTTGCCGTAGCTTGTCAGCAGTGTGTCTATCCACCATTCCCGCTGCAAAAGTATTGCTGATTTTGGCAGTTGCTCTCTGGCATCTGTCGACCGCTCTCGGTGTCGCTTGGGCTACACAAGTTGCCCTCCTTGGTCAAGGACATATGTTCTTCGATGTGTCGCTTTTCCTCTGCTTGCACTTTGCTCGAAAGTGCGGACTGCCTGCAAAGGCGCACAGCGCTGTGCAGAGCCTCCTGTAGAGAGGTTAGCTGAAGGAAGGCTGCTTTTGCTGTGATTCTCAGCTCTATTCATGAGTTTGGCCTGCTGTGGCTTCTGGCCTACTCTGGACTCGAGCTAAGGCGCGCGCCCATGATACGAGAGCTCGTCTTCACCCCAGACCTGAGTATCCCATGTCCGGGATCATATGTAGCCAGGGTGGCCATCTCATAGGACAAATGGCGAAAGCATTTTCTTCTGCATAGACTCCTCGCCATTTGTGCTTGCCTGGCATCTTGGCGAGCCTCTTCAAGGCAGTGCAGTCCAAAAAGCCCCTACTTCCTGTGTATCTCAGCGAAGGCGGGATTGCAAGCTCAATAGGGCTGCACAGTTCATGAAGGCTTTAACTCGGATTGTTTTGGAGAGTAGTCGGAAGGAGAACTTCTCTGCGGCTAGTGCAGTTCACAAAGGTGAATTCCGGAATTTCTTCAACAGTGGTGTTACAAAGGTCTGCACTCTTAAGCAATCGGCAACTGTCACACGCATGCGCTCCAATAGCAGTAAAATGCTTTGGAAGAGCGAGCGCAGTGATTCCCGTGGAGCTTGGACAGCCCGGTGCCAGCTGATGACCTGGGCACCATGCCCACACGGCGTCCGCACTCGTGGAAAAAAAAAGGCATTTTTTTCGCTATGACCAAGCCAAAGACACGAGTGGACTAAAATTTTGTCTCGCAGGTGTGAAGAGTTCTTGACACGGTATTGGTCACCTTGAAAATACTCACATGGTCGTGGCGCGCACACAGTCTTTGACACAAGTTGTGTCGCGCCGTGCTTCGCATGGACCTCAACTGAACCTGATTTGAACCTCACTCTTGCTTTCAGTCTGCTCATGCATGCGTATACTTTTTTTCCACGAGTACGGACGCCGTGTGGGCATGGTGCCCAGGTCATCGTTGAAGGGAGGGAAGAACAGTCTGATGGTGGAGAAAAGAACAAGGACCACAAACACAACCCAAAACGCACAACAAAAGGCCCACAGGCCGCGAGTCTCCACCATCATATAGTCTTTCCTCTGTGCTAGGTGAAACAGGTGAGACGAAAAAGAGTGTCTAGAAATAGCATATCGGCGCAGGTCTGTACTCAAGCAAAGTCGCAAAAAGGCTTCAAAGGGACCTCACTTCACAATTATGAGTGACCAGCGGCCACACTCCAGTGCGGCAAAATCATGGTCACGGTGCAGGTCAGGAGTATCGCAATGCTCCAACGTCGACTGCATCCCTGGCAAGTGGGGCGGCGTAGCTATGCGGCATGCCGTGGAAAAGACCTTTCTTGGCACAACCCGTTCAACCGGTTGCACTTGCAAGTCCAGTGGCATGCTACCAATCGGCGATCAATAAGCGGCGGCCATAATCGACGAAAGCCTGCAGGTAATGGTGCGAAAAGGCCCCCCCCCCGAAGGGAGGTCAGCTCAGCACCCTTTGGCGCTCAAAGGTGCCAAATAGCAAACAGAGTGGGGTGTCTTCTAGGTCTATGAAGCGCTGCACCATTGCAAAAGGTGATCGGCTGCATGCAAGGCCCGTGTGAAACAGGTGAAACAGGTGAAACTTTGGACAATCCTAGCATGGTATCTGTACCTCTTTGTACAAAATTGGAAATGTCGGACATCAACAAAGGGAACTAAGGTTCCCCCTGGGCATCCTCCATTGCCACTCTCTACCACCCGCCTGTTAGGAACGAAGAGCTAAGGCTCTCACTCCTATTGGCTCACAGCATTGCGAATGGCGAGAAGAGGTTATTTAGTGCTTGCGCATCTTGCTTGTCGTACTGCGCTGTCGGTTGGCTTGTCCCCCATTCCAGCCACCGGATTGCCGGCTCTGTCAGGTCTGAGCAGTTTTCTTCCCTGTGACTACTGGCATCTGTCGACAGCTCTCAGCATTGCCTGGACTAGACGGGTTATCCAGTTTGTTCAGGGACACTGGTTTTTGGCAATGTGCAGTCTATTTTCTTTTGCTTACTCCTAGCTCTAGGTGCAGGCGTCTCGCCATGATACTCATGAGTGGAACCTCCTATGGAGGGTACAATTGCGATGTTTCTCAGCTCCCCTATGGAATTTGTCCTGGTGTGATATTGGCCTACCTTGGGCTCACGCTAAGGCGCGTGCCCAGACTCTTAACGAGTAACTGCGATACAGCGCTTGCTGCAGCCAAAAAGGCTTGTTTTCATCCAAGACCAGGGGTATACCCCATGTCCGGGATCATGTGCAGCCAGGGTGGCCATCGCAAAGCAGGACAAATGGCGAAAGCATTCTCTTCAGCACAGACTCCTCGCCACTTATGCCTTCCTGGCATCTTGGCAAGCCTGCTAAAGACAGTGCAATCTAAGACCTACTTCCTATGTACCTCAGCGAGGGCGGAATGGCAAGCTCAACTAGGGCTGCACAGTTCATGAAGGCTTTGACTCGGATTGCATGGAGAGTTGTCGGAA